CTATCTTATCCTTCAAGCCCAGCTTACTTCGAGTGTCCTAGTGTCCCTCTCCTCTGTAAAACCTTCTCTGAGCACTGGTGGATTCAGCAGTTTCTGCTGCCTCTAAGCACTGATGGGGATGCATCTGGTTGTGGCTGGATGGTCTGGTTTTGTTAATATATTTTTGTTTCCATATACCTTGTCTCTTCAAACAGATCATAAACTCAAGGAAAATGACAATGTCTTTTTTCTGCTGCTTAAAACACACAACTTTATTGATGACATAAAAATAAAGTCTCAAATGTATAAACATAAGTCCACACAAAGGACCAAAGATTACCTTACTTATGAAGAATCAGCTCAGTTTCTGCTCATGAAGCATACTAAAAATATCTCAATCCAGACAAGATAAAAATCAACACATGTATTTTCAGTACAAGTTTGGATTCATTTGGTGCTCATAAAATGGCCCATCTATAGACCATCATAGGTAACATCAGTTTTGAAGTTATAACACAATTTACAATGTGCATCACTTCCAGGCTACAAAACCAAAATATTACCCAAATGTGTGTAGGAACATATATCCAATTAGAGTTTGCTTATTAATAGCTCAACTTTTTCCTTCACCTCTGGGTCACTGCATTCTGCTGCTAAGGCTCGAAGTTTTTTGGCACAGGCTTTAGGTCGTTGGAATAGGAAATAAAGAGAATTTTTACTGAATTTGTCCTGGGTAAATGTTTTTGATCTTCTTTTAAAATGGTAATTTATATTCTCAAATAGTGAAAGAGCATTAAGAATATTCTCTTTTGTCTCTTTCTTGCTAAAAATATTAATCAGTGTTGTTGGTGCATTGGCAATGAGCAAGTCTTTTGTCATAGATGGATTTTTAGAGAAATTCACAAGCATTCCCAAAACATGATCTTTAGTTTCTCCACTTCCCACAGTTAACAAACGAAGAAATTCTGAAATATAATTTGTAACCATATGCTGATATTCACTAGTAATAGTCAGGTGCCTTATCAATCTTAGTCCAGCCAACTGCACATTTGAGTTCAAGGGATAGGTGACAGTATCTTCACAAACTTGGTTTAAGTATGTTTTAACCTTTCTATGGTTTTCAGCAGCCACTGAGATGTTATTCAGTGCATTTAAAGCCTTCTGCCTAACACTAGGGTAGGGATTACTCAGCAAGCCTTCAATAACTGAGATTCCCCCAACATTACGAACAATTTCATGGGAATAAGGATAATCAGCACTGTTATATAAGGCATTAGTGGCTATTTCATGAACAGAAGGATCTTCAGTCATCTCAATCATGCAAATGAGTTTTTCAAGATCTCGTGGATCCATATTAGCTTCACGTTTACAGCGGCAGGACCAGGGCCGCATTTTCTCCCCAGACTTGCCGTTCTTTCTATACTCATCTTCACCTAGAAAGCCCTCATTTTGTTGAGTAAACTTAGTTTCGGACCAGATCATGGCTCCATCCCATGGCCCCATTCCCGCCCCAGGGACCATGGATGGATATATACCTCTTGACTCAGCGGACTTTTTGCCTTTAGCATTAGGTGCAGATTTGTCTTCATTTCTGTTTTCATTACCAGTACAGAACCAAGTCCTTAGATCAAATCCATCAGCAGCCTCAAATTTATTGTCAATGCTGGCCTTATCCCCAGCTCCAGACTCAAAATTAACATCTTGTCCACTCTTGGATGTGAACTCACTACTGTTCTCACTCTCAGCCCAAAACAGGGACCTTAAACTAATCTCCTCAATATCAGGGCTGGATGCTCTACTTAGCTCATCCTCATCTACATCCCTAGACCAAGTCCAAGATGGTATGCCAGCTTCTTCCTCAGCCCCAAACCTAGACCCTTTGGTTGTTGCATCTTCATCCCAGGGCCAAGACCCCAATCTGGCTTCAGCCCCAGCCTCAGCTCCAGCCACTGCCCCACCCTCAGCCCCAGCAACTGCCCCAACCTCAGCTCCAGCCACTGCCCCGGCCTCGGCTCCAACCTCAGCTCCAGGCTCAGCCCAGGCCTCAGCCCCAACATCAACCCCAGCCCCAACCTCAACCCAAGCCCCAACCCTGGCCTCAGCCCAGGCCTCAGCCCCAGCCTCAGCCCCAACCCTGGCCTCAGCCCAGGCCTCAGCCCCAGCCTCAGCTCCAACCCCGGCCTCAGTCCAGGCCTCAGCCCCAGCCTCAGCTCCAGTCTCAGCCATGGCCTCAACCCCAGCCTCAGCCCCAGTCTCAGCGCCAATCTCAGCCCCAGCCTCAGTCTGAGTCTCGGCTCCCGTCTCAAATCCAGCCTCTGCCCAGGTCTCAGCCCTGGTCTCAGATCCAGCCTCAGTTCCGGCCTCAGCTCTGGTCTCAGATCCAGCCACAGCCCAGGCCTCAGCTCCAGTCTCAGTTCCAGCCACAGCCCAGGTCTCAGCCCCGGTCTCAGTTCTGGCCTCAGCCCCAGTCTCAGTTCTAGCCTCAGCACTGGCCTCAGCCCCAGCCTCAGCCCTGGCCTCAGCCCAGGCCTCAGCCCTGGTCTCAGCCTCAGCCTTAGTCCTGGTCTCAGCCCAGGTTTCAGCCACAGCCTCAGTTCTGGCTTCAGACCCAGCCTCAGTTCCAGTCTGAGCCCCAGCCTCAGTTCCGGCATCAGCCCTGGCCTCAGCCCCAGCCTCAGCCCTGGCCTCAGCCCCAGCCTCAGCCCTGGCCTCAGCCCCGGCCTCAGCTGTGGCCTCAGTCCTGGCCTCAGTCCCAGCCTCAGCTCCAGCTTCAGCCCTGGTTTCAGCCCCAGCCTCTGATCTGGCCTCAGCTCCAACCTCAGTTCTGGCCTCAGCACCAGCCTCAGCCCCCACACAGGAATCTACATAAGCTGCCTCCTCAGATTTGATCCAGGACCCAATACTGGCCTTGTTCTCATCCACCAACTCAGAATTATTGATAATCTCTTCCCCAGTTCTTGATGTGGATTCAATACTTGACTCATGCTTACAATCAGACCTGGCCACAATAACAGCCTCTTCCCCTGTCCAACACCAAGAACCTATAAAGGCCTCACTCCCAGGCCCAAACCAGAATCCTTCATTGGCCTCTACCTCAGCACTAACCAAGAATCTTCCACTGGCCTGGTCCTCAGACTTAGCCCAAGACCCTCCACTGGCTTGGTCCTCAGAGCCCAGCCTAGAGCCTCCACTAGCCTCATTCCCAGGCTTAGACACAGCCCAGGATTCTCCACTGGTCTGATCCCCAGCACCAGCCCAAGAAGCTCCTCCACTAGCCTGATCCTCAAATCCAGATTTAGAGCAGACAACAGTCTGATCCCCAGGCCCAATCCAGGACCCTCCACTGACCTGACTCACGGTGGCAGCCCAGGATCCACCACTGGACTGGTCTGTGGTACCTGATATAGACCCTCCAATTACATGGCCACCAGCTCCAACCCAGGAACCTCCTCCATTAGACTGATCCTGAGACCCTGGTCTGGATCCTCCACCAGTCTGATCTCCAGCACCAGCCCAGAATCCTCCTCCAATGGCCTGATTCTCAAATCCAGGTTTGGAACAACTACCAGCCTGATCCCCAGCCATAGCCCAGGACATTCCACTGACCTGACTCCCAGTGCTAGCCCAGGACACAACACTAGACTGGTTCATGGGCCCTGGTCTGGATACTCCAACATCTTGACCACCAGCCACAACCCAAGACCCTGTTACATTGGTCTGACTCCCAGTGTAAGCACAGAACCATCCACTGGTCTGGTCCCCAGTACCAACCCAGGAATTTCCACTGGACTGACCTCCAGACCCCAGGCTAGATCCTCCACCAGGCTGGTCCCCAGAATTAGCCCAGCATCTTGCTGCATTGGTCTGGTCCTCAAATACAGCATTTGCCCCACCAGCAGCCAGGTCCCTAACCCCAACCTGGGACTCTCCACTGGTCTGGTCCACAGACCCAACCAAGAACCCTCCACTGATTTGATTCCCTGAATCTGCCCAGGATCTTCCACTGGACTGATCCTCAGGCCCTGACTTGGACCCTCCACCAGCCTGGGCAATAGCCCCAGCCCAAGAACCTTCATCACTGGCCTGATTCTCAAAACTAGGCTTAGATCCACCACCAGACTGATCACTAGTTCCAGTCCAGGACCCTCTAATGGCCAGGTTCCTAGTGCCAGCCCAAGACCCACCACTGGACTGATCTGCGGGCCCTGGTGTAGATCCTCCACCAGCCTGGTCCCCAGTGCCAACCCAGGATGTACCACTTGGGTCTACAGGCCCAAGCCTGGGCCCTCCACTGGCTTGATCTGCAGTATCAGCCCAAGACCTTCCACTGGACTGGTCCTCAGGTCCCAACCTGGACTCTCCACTGGCCTGGACAACAGCCCCAGTCCAGGACCCTTTTTCACTGGCCTGATCTTCAAATCTAGGCTTGGACTCACCACTGGACTGATCACCAGTCCCAGCCCAGGACCCTCCAGTGGCCTGGTCCATGGCCCCAGTCCAGTAACCAATACTAACTATGTTTCCAGCTCCAGCCCAAGACACCGCACTAGCCTGATTCTCAGCCACAGTCCAGGACCCTCCAGTAGCCTGGTCCACAACCCAGGAAACACCAGTGGCCTGGCCTGCAGGCCAAGACCCCTCACTGACCTGACCAACAACCCAGGGCCCTCCAATGGCCTGATTCCCAGAGACAACCCAAGACCCCCCACTAGTCTGGTTCTCAGCCCCAGTCCAGGACCCTCCAAAGGCCTTGTTCTGAGCCTCTACCCAGGAACCACCACTGGCCTTGTCCACAGCCCAGGACCCCTCACTAGCCTGAGCCCCAGCCCAGACTCCTCCACTGGCCTGATCCCCAGCTCCTACCCAAGATGCAACAGCAACCTCATTCTCAGCCCTAGCTCCAGCCCCAGCCCAGGACTTAATGCTGGTCTCATCACAGGCCACAGCCCAGGAACTGACAACACCAGCCTTATCACTAGCCCCATTCCAGGACCCAATACTGGCTTCATTCTCATCATCAGCCCAGGACACACTATTTTCCCAGTCTCCATCCATGGCCTGAAACCTAAATTTGATCCACCGCTCAGCAGCAATCCAATCCTCTACACCAATTCCATTCCAGTAGTAGTCATGAATATTAGGCTGAGTCCTTCTGCAAGCCTGAGAGTCTATCCCACCTTCACTCTCAGATGTGGGCACAGCCTCAGACTCAGGCTTTGCATATACTTCATCTTTTGCTATGGTTTCTGCTTCAGAATTGGACACAGCTTTTTCCCTTGCACCAAGCAAGGCCTCATCTTGGGAACTGGCCACAGTTTGGGGCTGAGCAGAGCTCTTTATACTTGTCCTGGCCCCTGCTTTAGTCACAGTATTGGAATTGCCCCTGACCTTATTCCTGGCACCAAGCAAGGACTCATTTTGGGAGCTGGCCATAGCCTGGGGCTGGGAAGACACCATTGTACCTGCCCCAGTCGCTGTCTTAGGCACAGCACTAGAATGGCCCCTGACCTTATTCCTGGCACCAAGCAAATTCTCACCCTGGGAATTAGACACAGCCTGGGGCTGGGCAGAGCCTGTTGTATCTGCCCCAGTCTCTGCCTTAGGAATAGCATTGGGATTGCCCCTGACCTTATTCCTGGCACCAAGCAGGTTCTCACTCTGGGAACTGGCCACAGCCTGGGACTGGGCAGAGTCTCTTGAATTTGCCCCAGCCTCTGTCTTAGGCACAACATTGGAATTGCCCCTGATCTTATTCTTGGCACCAGATAAGGCCTCACCCTGGGAACTGGCCACAGCCTTGGGATGGGCAGAGCCCACTGTACCTGCCCCAGCCTCTGGCTTAGACATAGCAGTGGGATTGCCCTTGACCTTAGTCCTGGTACCAGTCAAGCATTCACCCTGTGAATTGGCCACAGCCTGGGGATAGACAGAACCCACCCCAGCCTCTGCCTTAGGCACAGCATTGGAATTACCCTTAACCTTATTCTTGGCACCAGGCAAGGCCTCATTCTGGGAACTGGCTACATTTTGGGGCTGGGCAGAGCACACTGTATCTTGCCTGACCCCTACCTTAGGCACAGCATTGCGATTGCTCCTGACCTTATTCCTGGTACTAGGCAAGGTCTCACCCTGGGAATTGGCCACAACCTGGGGCTGAGCAGACCCTGTTGCACCTGCCCCAGCCTCTACCTTAGGCACAGCATTGGTATTGCCCTTGACCTTATTCCTGATACCAGGCAAGGCCTCATTCTCGGAAGTGGTCACAGCCTGAGACTGGGAAGAGCCCATTGTACCTTCCACAGTCCCTGCCTTAGGCACAGTGTTGGAGTTGCCTTTGACCCTATTCTTGGCACCAGGTAGGGTCTCACCTTGGAAATTTGCCACAGCTTGGGGCTGACCACAGGTCCTCTGGTCTGCCTTAGACCCTGCTCTGGAAATGGCATTAGAATCACTACTACCATCAACCCTGGAATCAGGCAAGGCCTCAGCTTGGGTCTTGATCCCAGCCTGAGGCTGTACACAGGTTTTCATGTCTGTCCCAACCCCTGCTTTACATTTGGCTTTGGCTTTGCCCCTTGTCTTACCTCTAGTAATAGGTAAGGTTTCACCCTGGCTCTGGGCCGTAGCCTCAGCTCCTTCCTTAGACATGGTATTGGCATTGCCCTTAGCCTTGATTCTTCCATCGGGCAAGACATCACCCTGGACATTGGCCACAGGCTGAATCTGGGTACAGGACAACATGTCCATCCCAGCCCCCGCCTTAGCCATGACATTGGGATTGCTTCTGGTCTTATCCCTGGTATCAGTCAAGGCTTCAACCTGTGAATAGGTCCTCGTGTTTGTTCTGGCCACTGCTTTAGCCATGGCATTGGGATTGGCTCTACCTTTAACCTTGGCATCAGGTATGGCCTCAACCTGAGCACTGGATACAGCTTGTACCTGAGCAGTAGCCCTCATGTCAGCTCCAGTCATTGCCTTAGATATGACATTGGAATTTCCCCTGCCATCAACCCTGGCACCAGATGTTGCTTCAGCCTGTTTTTTGGCCATAGTCTGAGACTGTATTATATAAGCTTTCATATCTGCCTCTATCTCTGTTTTACACATGGCATTGTCATCACCCCTGTCAATAACCTTTGCCCCAGGAATGGCTTCAGCCTGTGTCTGGGGAGCAATTTGGGGCTGGAAAGAAGCCTTTGTGTCTACCCCAGAGCCTGCCTTACACAGGATTTTAAGATTACCCTTGTCCTTATCCCCAACACCAGGCATGTCATCATCTTGGACCTTGGCCACAGCCTGAGACTGTGCACAGAACTTCATGTCCACTCCAGCCTCTGCCCTGGATGTGCCATTGAGATTTTCCTTAGCATCAACTGTGGGATCAGACCTAGCTTCAGAATGAGTTTTAACCACACTCACAGTCTCTTCCAGGGTTCTTGTCTTGGTTTCAGCCACAATTCCAGCCTTGTTCATGGTCCCAATCTTGACCACTTCCTTGGTCACTGCCAAGACCTCACTCTGTGTCACCATTAATTTGTTAATCTCTGTCTCTTTTTCAACCAATGTACGAGCTTCAGCTTTGGTCTGGGTCATTGTTTCTTTCTTGGCCTCTGACCTGGCAACCGCTGCCCAAGCTTTAGCCTTGGTCTGGGTCACTGCCTCTTTCTTCACTAGTCCCCCAGCCTCAGCATCTGTTTGGGTCACTGCCTCTTTCATGGTCACTTCCCTAGCTTTGGCATTGGCCTCAGTCAGAGTCACTACCTCTGTCATGATCAGTGTTCCAACCACTGATTTGGCCTCAAATTCAGTCTCTGTCTCTGCCTCAGCCATTGCCTTGGACTGAGAGTTGGCTTTGGGTCTGGATATAGCAGTGACCTGGGCCTCTGCTTCAGCCCCAAGCCCACCTCCTGCTCCAGTTTCTGCTCCAGTCATGGCCTTGGGTCTAGTCTCAGTCTCTGCCCCAGCCAAGGCTTCACTCGTGGCCAAGGTCTGGTTCTGTACCCCAACCACAGTCTCCATCTTGACTTTGGACCCATTTCTGGCAAGTCTCCTCTCATTCTGAGCTCTTCCCTTGGTTAATCTGTAAATGTAGTAGCAGGTGCCAGCCCAGATCACCAGTCCTGCAGTTGCCCAGCCCACTTCCTGAATGCGGCCCATGTAATAACCCCTGCTGAAGGCACGAACAAGGTACAGGGGGGCTCACTCGGGCTGGGGAAAGAACGTGATAGGTCTGGATGTAGGCCTGTGAAGGTGCTGGTCTTCAGCTACTACGGTTGCCACTGGTGGTAGACCTAGAAGTGAAGGAAGGAAATAAACTAAAATTTCTCTTCCAATTCTATTGTATCATACAGCTGGATACACAGAGGAACAGGAAAAGGCAGAAATTATGTGTTTGGTGGGAGAAGAGGATAATTAGCAAACTTTCCATCCCTTATTTCACCCTCTTCCCACCTTCCACAATGCCCAACAATTTTCCCCTGAGGTATTTCCATATTCCAGGAAGGATGATGGGAAGGTTGATGATGAATGGGAGAAACTGAGAAGTCTCCAGACTTTAACCTTTACTAGACCTACTCTGGTCACAGTTCCCACAGCTCCCCGCTTTCATACCAACCTGTACTGATCCAAAGAATTCCCCTCCTCTTTCCTTGTCTTTCTTGGTGATACGCCCTAAAATAGATACATAAATTCATGAGATCTTTGGACCTAAAGACAAACAGAGAGACACAGGGAGTGACATACAGGAATAGAGAGTTTGGTTTTGGGGGGGAGGTTTATTTGTTTGTTTGTTTGTTTTATTACCAGGGATTGAACCCAGGAGCACTTAACCACTGACCCACATCCCTAGATCTTTTTATATAGATTTCTTTTTTATTTTGATACAGGGTCTTGCTAAATTGCTGAGGCTGGCTTTGAACTTGCAATCCTCCTGAGCTTCTGGGATTACAGGCATGTGCCACCATGCCTGGCAAGAGTTTGTTCTTAATGGGACAAGAATATCAACTCCCTCAGATCACTTCACTCCCCCCGGGGGTTGTCACACTCTTTTCCCTGTACCAGAATTAAGGTGAGGGTTCGAGGTTAATGGCAGAGGTGGGTAAAGATAACTGAGAAAGGGAGAGATTAAGGATCCTCTAGATCAGACACTGGTCCTTATTGGATGCACACTGGTCTCCACTAACCCATCCTAGAAGTTGACCCAGCCAATCCTCACCTTCTTACCAGTCTATACTGATTGGAGACAATTTTCTTCTTGTTTCTTTGTTTCCAGTTATCTCAAGCCCTGTAGCAGAGGAGCAGATAGATCTATAGATAAGTGAACACATAGGAGATAATGAACACTAAGTGCTTGGTAGAAAAGACAGGCATTTTAATTCCTGACCCCAATGCTTGCCTTTAAGAGCCCAGGACTAGTTTACTAAGGTGTCTTATCTTGTGTTCCCCTACTCAAGTCTTCTTAGTCACACCATAGCCACCCTCACCCCAATATTCTTACTGTTTCCTGCACTAAAATCAATAGGGCATATGCTATCACTGTAGAAAGCTGGCAGAGTGTAGAAGAGTCAGAAAGACCCTCCAGTGAGACTCTCTAAAGTCTCAAAAACCTGCTCAGCCCACCCTCTCTTGTCATCCCCATGCACTGCCCACATTCACACTAACCTCCATAGTTATGGACCAGTCTCTTTATCTTTCTCTTGTTTCCAGTGGTAAATAGGCCTACTGCAAGCCTATGAGAAGACCTAGGAACAGAGACAAAAAAGGAGGGTGAATGTTGAATGTTTGTGACATCCTAACATCTAACATATGGGTTGTTGTGTCTGCCTTTCTGAGAGACAGCCATTTCCTAGCAGGCAGAACCTAGGGCTTTCCTAGCACTGTAATGCACAGAGTATAAAAGGGAGACAAGTAAAGAAAAAAGGGGAAAGATAGAAGCAACTTATTTTAAAACCACCTGTAGCATTCTAGAGGCACCCCCAAAAGTCCTCCATTTCCTTCACCAAGATAGTCAGGAAGGCAGAGGTATCTGTAAAACTGCAGTATGGTGGAAGAGATGCAGGGCCCCAGGCCCCATGACTATAGAACCACAGCCTACTGCCTTCTGCTTCCCCTAAAACCCATTTTGAGGAGTCTCCAGCAGAAGACACAGGTGTGGGGGAGGGCTTTTGCTTCTGCAAAATCATTATCCTTTCCCCCAAAGACTATCTCAAAAAAATAGTAATGTTCTTTGATAAAATTCATATTTTTTGACATTAACTGAAGTACAAATAAAAGCATCTGTAGAAAAGTTCGCTGTCTTTATTGGTCTTCAATACAAAATATAAGTTAAAAGTCCCAAGCTTGGTAAAGAAACACAATTTAGGGAAAGTTGCCTACATCCCAATCAGCAGCACCTAAATGCTTGTCATGGAATTCATATAGAACTTAACAGACAGTGCCCGTGCTCACACTAACCTCCATAGATCCTGTGCAGTTTTCTTCTCTCCTTCCCTCGCCTCACCACAAACAGTGCCACACCGAACTATTGTCAGAAAGAGAAGCAATGAGTGCTTAGAACAGCACACAGGCCACAGACCCCAGTACTCGCCTTTCCGGATTCTGGAACACGATTATCAAACGTCCCTCCCCTCGCTCAGACACCACCCCTACCAACCCAGCCGTCCAGTCACTAAGGCCCACCATTTTCTTTACAAACGCCACCGTGGCGCGTCCCTTCCTCTGAGATGATCAGGAAGCCTGCGGGCATGTGCGGTCAGTGATTAGAATTAGAAAGGATGGACATCTCGTTCTGTATTTCCCTCTTGAGACACTCTCCCCACCAGCCACCCTGTCAAAGCTCATGGTTCCCCTGAACAGATTTAGATGGGGGTAAGGACACTCGGGAAAATCAGAAGCAGAGGCTCCTTGAACTTGAGCCAGCACAGACACCTCTTTGGCCGGTCCCTGCACCACAGACGGTTCGGCAAGCTGCTGCTGGCCTGGCGGCGGCGTGCGGCCCCAAAACCCTTACCTGCTCGGCTTTCCCCGGGCCTGATGCTAGCCCGCCATGCGCAGGGCAGCGGGGAGCTGGTAGCCAGACGAGAGTGACGACTGCACCCTGGGCTGCGTCGCTCTGCAGCTCCGGGTCACGTGAGGGCCGCGCGTCATCGCTGGCTCTCCTCCCCACAGACCCCCACCCGCCGGCAGGCAGTCAACAAGACCCCCTTCCTCAAGCACAGACAACCCCCACCTCCGGTCTCTGCGCGGCGCCTCTGTGCGCACAACCCTGTCACTCATCTCTGTCCTCTCCAATCTGAGAGCCCACAAGTGGCATCACCGCCTTGCGGTTGGAGTTTACCGGTCTCTTGTTGCCAGGGTGGGTCTTTACCCCCCACCCCCACCCTCACCCACTTCCAGGCCTTGGTTGTAGCCTTTTCTGCATCTTCGAGGAATCCTTTCTTTTCCTGGTATGCTAAAAGATCAATGCTCCCCACCCATCTCCTATACAACCTGCCCTCCTTAGTACCTACAGCGCCAGCACCAAATTGCCTAGAGAAGGAGGTGCCTGAAAGGAAAGCAGAGTGAAAGTAAAGCCTTAACTTTCTTTTATATATTCCTTTTTTTTCCTGTTACTATCACTTTTTTTTGTAATGGGAAAATGCAGTAAAGTCATTTTCATTAGACATAAAAAATATTCAGGTTGTAAAAATAACACGAGACACATTCGTTTATACTATTTTGTGCCACTTAAAAATGTTTTCAATTTGGTATAAACTCTTTCACAGGTTTCAAAACAGACTAGTGTTATTGACATTTTAAATAAAAAATTCCTAAATCAGCACATTTTTCAATATCATCTATACATTAATCTTTGGAAAGACATTTGATTTCTAATCTTGACAGTTTTACAAAAAAAAATTGTTTATAATATTTTAAAGTTCTGGCTGAATATATGGTTTCCTGTCTGAGAACTTTTTCAGAGATGATTCCTAAATGATTTAATGAAGACTCAATTCCTCAAGAACCCGGTGCCTTACAAACTAGTGACATCACAGATTAACTGTCTTTCCATTAAAGGGTCTTTGTTTGGATTTTACATAAGTGTGTAATCAAATCAGTCTCACCACACCCATAAAAGGACCAACAGCTATCACATGGATGGAAAGGAGGCTCAACAGGTGGAATTTTCATTCCATCATGACATTAATGAGATATCTGAAATCTGCCATCCACATACTATCACCATAGCATTGACCAGTGTTCATAATGGTGGTGAGGGTCTGTGGATGACTGTGAATCATCTCAGATCCTGAACAGTGGCCAGGAGAAAGAAGTATTTTCACTCACTGTACCACCCGCCCAAGACCCTCAGAATAATTCCATAACTCAGGGACAAAGAATGTAGAAGTTAGTCTGCAGACACCCACCTGTCCCTGCTGGGAATCATACTCTAAATATAGACCCTCCAGGCAGCCTTTTCCTTAGAATGTTGAAATATGACACCCCAGCCAGCCAGAGGCCCTCCCTGTGAGGGGGGCTGCTGTGCAGGAGGCCCTTTTGGAAGGTGAGTCAGGGAGCCCAAGATGCTATAAGACCTTACTAATGGCTTTTCAGAACTTAAATTGATAAAATGATGGCATAAAATTCTAAAATCTTGGTAGTGTTAAAAAAAAAAGAAAGAAAGAAACCATAGCATTGGATGTCAAGGGCTAATTTTTAATGTAAAAACTCCCAGCCAGCACAGTTGCTCACACCTGTAATCCTAGGGGTTCAGAAGGCTGAGTTAGAAGGATTGCAAGTTCAAAGTCAACCTCAGCAACTTAGGGAAGCCCTTAGTGAGACTAAAAACTAAAAAAAAAAAAAAGACTAGGGATGTGGCTCAGTGGTTAAGCACCCCTGGATTCAATACCTAGTACAAGGGAAAAAAACTCTCACAAATCATTAATAAAATGATAACCCAATAGAAAAATGTGCTAAAGATATGAACAGATTTGTTCACAGAGAACAGTACAAATGACCGACAAGCATTTGAAAAGATACTCAGCTCCAAAGAAATGCAAATCAAAACAACTATGTCTTACTATGTTTCAGCTATGAGTTTGTTAAAACTTAGAAATTGAATAATTTTGTTGACTGGTTTGTGGAGAAATGTTCACTCATGCACTCTGTTAGATGCAGATGTTCTAATTCAACATTTTATAGGGCAATTTGGCACAATCTATTAAATGATAAACAAAATATCCTACTAATTCTTGGACCCAGCATTTCTTTTTTCCTGCTGCATTATATTATACATAACTGTTGCATTCATTATGCCATATTTGTACATACACATTACATACTTCCCCTGTACCTTCCCTTTCCCTCCCATCCTGATCCCCTTGCTCTGTTCTACTGATCTCCTTTCTATAATGATGATAATTTTAACTAGTTCTTTATAATTTTATATATCACCATGGTATATTCATACATGCACATAGCATAATTTGGTACATTTCATTCCCCAGTATTTGCCCATGCCCTCCCTCTTCCCTACCCCTCTCAACCTACTTCCTCTACTCTGTTGATGTCCCTTCTAATTACCTTCTAGTTATATCCCCTTACCCTTCCCCCACCCCTCCCCTTCTCCCTCTCCCTCTCCCTCCCCCCATTCATTTGACCCCTGACTTTTTGAATCTGGCTTATTTCAATTAGCATGATATTCTCCAGTTACAATTTGCCAGCAAATGACATAATTTCATTCTTCTTTATGGCTGAGTAAAACTATATTTTCTTTTCCATTCATCTGTTCATGGGCAAGTAGGCTGGTTCCATAACTTGTCTATTGTGAATCATGCTGCTATAAACATTGGTATGCATGTTTCACCATAGTATGCTGATTTTAGTTGTTTTGGATAAATACCAAGGAGTGGAATATCTGGGTCAAATAGTGGTTCCATTCCTAGTCTTTTGAGAAATCTCCATACTGCTTTCCAAAGCGGCTGTACTAATTTTCACTCCCACCAACAATGTATAAGTATACTCATCCAAATCACATACATCCTGTCTTGCAATTATTATTAGTTGTATTCTTGATGATAGCCATTGTATTTGGAGTGAGAAGGAATCTCAGTGTAGTTTTGATTTGCAGTTTTCTGATTGCTAAAGATGTTCGGCATTTTTTCATATATTTGTGGGCCATTTGTGCTGTTTCCTTTGAGAAATGTTTGTTTAGTTCACTTGCCTATTTGTTGACTTGGGTGTGGTTTTTTGGTATTAAGTTTTTTTTTTTAATTCTTGTATATTCTGGATATTAATCCTCTGTCAAAAGAGTAGCTGGCAAAGATTTTCTCCCATTCTGTAGACTTTCTCTTTACACTCTTGTTTCCTTTGCTGTACAGAAGTTTTTTTTTTTAATTTGATGACATCCAATTTATTAATTCTTGGTATTATTTCCTGAGCTTTAGGAGTCCTACTGAGGAGCTCATTGACTACACCTATAAGTTGGAGTGTTGCCCCTATGTTTTCTTCTAATGTGTGTAAAATTTCTTGTCTAATCCCTAGGTTTTTGATCCACTTAAAGTTGACTTTTGTACAAGCTAAGAAGGATTCGGTTTCATTCTTCTAAACATGTATATCTAGTTTCCCAACAACATTTGTTTAAATAAGGCTGTCTTTTCTCCAATGTATGCTTTTGATACCTTTGTCAAAAATCAGATGATTGTATATGTGTGGATTTGTGCCTGTGTCTTCTATCTATTCCATTGGTCTATGTGTCTGATTTTGTGCCAGTACCATACTCTTTTTGTTACTATAGCTCTGTAGTACAATTTGAAATTGGCTATTGTGATGTCTTTGACACTGCCCATTTTGCTCAGAATTGCTTTGGTTCTCAGAATTCTTCCATGTGAATTTTAGGACTGCTTTTTTTTCTAGTCTGTGAAGATTGTCATTGGTATTTTGATGGGGATTACATTGAATCCTGTAGATCACTTATGGTAATATAGTTATTTTAACAATATTAATTCTGACTATTCATGAACACAAAAGGTCTTTCCTTCCCCTAGTATCTTCTTCAATCTCTTTTTTCAGTGTTTTGTAATTTTCACTTTAGTGCCCTTCCACCTCTTTGGTTAGATTTATTTCTAGGTATTTTTGAGGCTATTGTGAATGGAATTATTTTCCTGATTTCTTTTTCAATAGATTAATCATTGGTGCATAGAAAAGATTGATTTTTATATGATGATTTTGTATCTTGCTACTTTGCTTAATTTGTTTATCAGTGCTAGAAGTCTTCTGGTAGAATTTTTAGGATCTTCTAAGAAGAATATATTATACTCTAATATTCAAACCAAGAAAAAACACTAGCACTGCTTTGACTCCATTATCATCATCCAAATCACAGTTATGTCCCCAGTGTTATAAGTTTGGTGAGTTGAATCCTTTTTATACATTATATATGCATGTATGTCTTATTAAAATATAAAATAGGATCATATTTGGTATTCTGTTTTGAAACTTATATTTTCATGTAAAATATGCTTCAGTTAGTTAGATATGTCAGTATATTTAAAGCTGCTTTGTTCTTTTAACTGCTGCATGATATTCAATAGTTTGATTGTGATATTGTTTATTTAAACACCTACCCCAACTGATGAACATAAAATTGTTCTGAGTCTGAGGTTAATAAAAATAAGCCTTCATTAAACAGCCTGGTATATACAACGTGGCCCATGGGTAAGAAATTTTTTTAGGATATCCTACCTGTAAATAGACTTGTTTGATTAAAGGAATAAGATTTTATAAATTTAATACTGCCAAAAGACGGATATGAGATCATACATAGTTAATGGATATAGTGTCAAACTGCCCTCCTAAAAGCTGGGCCAATTTACACCCTTGTCAAGTACATAACAGGACCTGTTCGCCAGACTCTGATGCACACTGTATATTGGTGATCAGTGCCAATATAAGAAGTAAAAATAGTATCAGATTTTCATTCTTTAATTCACATTTCCAAAATATCTGTTATCTTGACCATCATTGCGTATGATTATTGACCATTTGCATTTCTTCTGTGAGAATCATTCAGATCCTTGAAGTTTTTTTCTGT